CCCCCTCTTTCCCATCAGTAGCCCCCCTTCACATCAGAATTCCTCCTTTACATCAAAGCCCCCCTTCACATCAGAATCCCCATCTTTCCCATCAGAGTCCCCCTTTACATCAGAAGCCCCCCTTTCTTATCTGAAGCCTTCCTCTCTTCACAACAGGAGCACTCTGCACATCAGAAGCCCCGTTCACATCAGAGTTCACCCTTTACATCAAACCCCCCCTTTCACATCAGAATCCCCATCTTTCCCATCAGAGTCCCCCCTTTACATCAAAAGACCACTTTCATATCTGAAGCCCCCTCCTTCACAACAGGACAACAGAAGCACTCTCCATGGCGACTCCATGGTGTTTGGCCAGCTCGATTGTGATTGGCCGGCCATTGGATGCGGCCATCGATGCGGATTGGCTGGGTTTCCCGACTTCCCAGCCAATCCGCATTGAGCCAGTTTCCCGGCCAATTAGGAAGCCGGGAGGCGGGTCATTACTCACCGCCCGGCTTCCTGATTACCCAAGAAGCCGGCTCCATGTTCCCCTATGGCACTGCCGGTCAGAGGAAATGTTCTTCTGACTGGAAGTTTTGGTATTGGAGCATTTGGGCGAGTATGAGTACTCGCCCTAATACTTGGTATCGACACCGATACCAATACTAGTATCAGTATCGGTGCATCCCTAATCTAAAGTATTTCAAGTGCACTTCATCACAGGTCAGCGGGTTCCCATTGGCATGGGTGCATCTGCGTTCTTTGGAAGACACAGGTCCTATTGAGATGCATTGCTTTGGCCAGCGAGGCAGGTCAACTGAACTTTCTGCTGCGTTTGAAGGTACGTGTTTGAACAGCACCGTGTTTAGATGCAAAAGCAAGTTTTACAACCATACCCCCATAGTCATGCCATTGACAAAATCTCTGCCTTATATAGAAGCTTTTATGAATTGCATCCACCGAGGGGGAGGATTAGGACAAGCTCTTTAAATAAAACTTCTTCTGCAAATATTGATTTCTTGCCCAGTCACCCGGAAAGGAGATTTGCCGTCAGTCTGCTCTTTGTGAGAATGCAATAATAATAATAATAATTATAATAATAACGATAATAATGGAGTCCATTAATTCACGTTTGCAGCCGCCGGGGACAGATGCAAGGTCTTATTTTTTTTTTCCCACGATGGTTGATGGGCTGCGTG